TCGTTTGTTGAATTCCTTATCATTGGATAAAAATTCTCTGACGTTCATTGCTGCTTCTCTAAAAATTTCTTTAGTTTTGTGATACTTATATATCGCTTCTTCCATGTTATCCGCAATCAAAATGATGTTATCAACATATAAGTTCTTCTTTATTTCTGAGGCCAAACTAGTTGCTGTATTATCTAAATGATATTTGAGAGTTGCTGTTAATAGGGAAGGTGAAGATATCACTCCAAATGGTACTCGTTTAAATCGGTAGGATTTGATATTCTTCTCTGATACTTCCTCATCCAGGTTCTTGATCCATAGAAATTTTGTACAATTTCTTTTCTCTGGATGTAATCCTATTTGTAAGAAAGCCTTTTCTATGTCAGCAATTATGACTAATTTCATCATTCGAAACCGTAATAATATGCCGACAAGATCAGGTAACATTACCGGACCTCTTTGGAGAACTTCGTTGAGACTTCTATAACCTTTTTGATGTGCCGAGGCATCATACACTACTCTTAATTTTGTAGTATTTTTATTAGGGTTCCACACTTCGTGATGTGGAAGATAATGTATGACACCTATTTCGTCGTTATGAGGAATTTCTTCAATCATACCTGTTTGCAATTGTTCCATGATTGTGTTATGATATATCTGGAGAAGAGATTTAAGTTGCAATTTTTTGATTAAATTCTTTAAACGTCCCATACATAAACCATAGTTGTTGCTCAAATTTTTCTTAGAATCCCTCCATGGCCAGCAGACATGATAACGACCATCTTTTTTCTTGAGTGTCCTTTGAAAGCGTTTTAGAGTTTCTTTATCCTCATTACTATTCGGAGACTCTTGCATTCCTATTGATTCTAACCTCCAAAAGTTTTCGAGTTCTGAATCAATGGTAGCCTTGGCGGTGCATACCAAATTTTGTGAAGAAATACCATTTTGGCAAAGTTTAATTACATCTCCACTTCCGGCAACCATAGGACCAACCATTAATTGTACCAACATGTGACCTGAACTCAATTCTTGTGCATTTTGCAGTCTGATAAACTTAAAGAAATAGTCTGCTCCAATGAGTATGTCGGGCTTCCCCCAATGATTTGTTAATTCTTGAGGTTGAATTTCTTTTGGTGTATCCACGACTTGCAATTCATTGGTTAAGTGTTCGACTACATTAACACATATTCTTATAATGTCGTTTTCCGTTGTCTGCACGTTCAATTGCGTAGAAGCCGAGAGACAGAGCATTGGGTTCCTCATACCAAATGGAATTATTTTCATGATTTGTTTGTCTGATTCTGTCAACTCCAATTGATGCGATAACTTCTGCGAAATGAAGGAGAGTTGTGAAAAAAAAGAAGAGTTCAGCGTATCTTTGGAAGCTGATTGACCAACTCAACAATTAAATCGCCTAGACACACTGGTGATATTTGGTTATTAATTGACATCACTCTCTACACTTCAGAAAAAATTCACGACAGCATTAATTATACTTATCAGATACTTATCAGAAAGCTAAATTACAAGTATAAAATCGTCCTAGCATAAAATTCATTAAAAATAAAAATTGATTAATATATTAGTTCCTTTTTTGAATAAATGATAAAATTTTTTAAAAAATTTTTGTCACCTAAATTAATTTTTGGAATTTAATTTATTTCAGTTCAATTTATTTTATTATAATTCTGCTTAAATTAGTTTAATTTTATTGCAAACAATTAAATCAACATTTCATTTTCGTTTGATCAAAAATTCATTTCAATTTATTGGTTCTTTTCTCTTATCTTTCAATGATTGCTATCAAATATTTAAAAGTGTTTTTTACAGGAGGCTTTCAAAAATGCTTCGCACAAATCAGTATTATCAATTTTTTTCTGATAATGAATTGAAATATTTTGATGCAAAAGATATTACCAGAATTGAATTGGAATTGGCTTATGTAATATTTAAAGTCGATTATTTGTATTTGAAATAAAACATGGAGAGCAAAAATGCTTTCTAATGGATGATAAACTGATTTGTAATTCAAACATTCAATCCTTAATTAATAAATGAGATAATTAAATAATATTTTCACTTGAATCGATAAATCTGATTACTTTCACAGAACGGTTCGATTAACAAATCTGATTATTCTTCAGGAACAATTATGAATGCATGATTTCTATTTGGAACAAAAAAAAAACCAAATCTTATTTTTTATGCACGATAAAAACCGTTCATCGAATTCATATTTTCCAAAATATGATTTTCCAAAAATTGCGAGATAATGGTTCTAAAAAGCAGAGGACTGTTTTTATGTCAATTTCTCAAACTTATCAAAAACTTTTTTTTGTTAAAAAATTCTAAGCAAAGCAATTAAAACAGTCAAAATTGAGAGATTTATCTTTTAATTGCAAACTGTCATTCTTTTGCAAATAGTTTTATTCTTTCAAACCAACCTCCATGCATTAATAATTTTAAAATTGATTTTAATTTCTAAAATTTCATTAGTTGATTTCAAATAATGCTTGATGTGAGTGCATTTTTTGACGTCAACAAAGTTTCATAACAAAATCCCAATTTAACAGCAAAATAATGAAATGTGAAAATATTAGTGTCTGATTGATATGTGCCATTTCATGTTTCGATTGAAAGAAGATAGGTATTTACGGCTATCCGAACTTTCTTTTACGTTTGAGAAGGAAGCATGTACAGCACACCGTGCTATTTCTGTCTCTCTTTCCTGTCTGTCAATACTTTTCAAAAATTATACCTTTCAACTTCAGCAATCTTTCTTTGCTAACTCATACACATTAAACATCAAACTGTGCACCTTCAAGGCAAAATGTACACACACATACACACACATACACATAAATACACACACACATACACACCACGCATACAGGCGTACACACGCACACGCACGCACGATTACATACACACAATTAAATAAATCTATGTGCACTTATATATATAATACTTATATATATAACCTGCACACAAACACCTCGAGCAATTGTGAAAGCAAAACTAAACTGAAAAACTGAAAAGATTTAAGAAGTGATTATTTTTTAATTGAAATAGCAAGATATTTTACACATTCAAGAGTTGTTTTTAATTTCAAAACTTTTGTTTAATTGTTTAATCATCTGGGTAATAAATTTGCAAATTTATAAGATTTAGTTATTGCAAGAATTTCTCGTAAAAATTTGACAAAAATTTATGGCAAATATTTTTGGCGTAATGAATTAAAATTTTGAAATAATTTTTAGGATAGAACAATAGAAGAAAATGATAGCATGCAATTATAATATTTTTGAAAATTTTTCGCCATTAAAATTTATGAATTGAATTAGTAAAAAAAAATCCAGCTATAATTCGTTTTATTTTATTTCATTTCATTCACTTTTTATTTTTGGAAAAAATAGTTCATTCATTCATCTCTCTGCAAGAGGTCAGGATTGAAGAGCACAGTTTTCAACAGATGTCATATGAAGAGCAAATCAGCTGTTCAGAGATGTTTGCTGCAATGAAGAGTAGTGGTTGACGACGTCACTAACATTTTACTCCTTTTTATTAGAACAAATTTATTTTTACTTCATCCACCTACCCGTGAATTCGCATTAAGGATTTGTTCTGAAGCGAAATTTATCACTTCTTTTTATTCGTAACATAAAAAAGTGCTGAAAATGTATTGAAATTTATTTAGAATTTCATTGTTCGCTTTTGTAACAAAATTTAAAATCAAATGGAATGGAACGAAAAAAAGTAATTTAATCAAAAGTAAACATTTTTCGTTTTAATACGTAGCAATTTCATACCTATCTGTTACTATTATTAGCTAAAAATAGATATTAATAGAAATGAGAAAATAATTATGACAATTATGACAGAGATGAAAAGAATCATCTTCAATTAAATCTAAATCCTATTTTTTTTTAAATTTCATCGACAACAATCAATTCTGAAGAAATAATTTAATTCCAATCATCGATTAATTGTTTATTTTGAATTTTCTATATTTCAATCAAAGAAAGGTATGATCTGAAACAATGTTAAATGTCGCAAATATTTCATCAAATCTTTGATTCATCACTTTGATGCTTGAAAATACGAAAACTAATTCTGTTTTACTTTTTCTTGAAAGATTGAAATACGAAATCGAAGATTTAAGTAGGACTAATGATATATACTAAAACGTGTTAATTTTACCAGAGTCTGAGATTTTGAATTTAACAAAATATTTCTCGCTTCTGCTAACCGAATGGAGCCAAAATTTTATTTTACAAGTCATGAAATTACAAACAAATATTGTATTCTTGCTATAAAATAAAAGAAATTTCATTGCTTGCTCATTTTTTTCGAGCTCAATTTTTTGACAAAGCTCTTAGAAAATTTTAAATAAAATTACTTCAATTTCCTTTTATTTTGCTTATCATATTCACTGTTAATTTTTCCAAATATCTCACAATTTGTTAACAAATAATTTTGTTTATCGTTTTTTACACCTTATTAAACATTAATGTTTGCTATAATGCTATGCTTACTCAAAGTTTACTGATGTATTTTATTTAGATTGCAGAAACTTAAATACGATTAAGAATAATACTCGAGTTCCGAGGTAAACTGAAAAGAAGAAAAGAAAATGTTGCCGATGGCTATGCACCAAAAACAAGACCGAGTAAAGCGGAAGCACAAATGTTCGTTTTATTTATT